GCTTTAGCCTCCAGCCCCCTAATCCTCTTTTGTTGCCCTCCTCTGCGCTCTTTCCAGAGTCTCAACATCTTGGAGGTTTATGGCAAGCAAACTGGATATAATTTTCCAAGTTTGGTCTTGCCAAGATATTATAAAGCGCTCCCAACACTTCACATGATCCTGAATCCGTCCCTCTGTTAATGCAGCCTAGGATTGTGTTAGCCTTTTTTGGCTGCTGCAACACACGGTGATTGTTGCCCGGACTCCAAAATCCCTCTCCCAGTTCCTCCTTTTGAGCCAGGTGCCAGCTATCCCATCCCTGCTCATTCGTTTGTTTTTGTTTTTCTTGCCCAAATGTTAGAACCTTGTACTTATATATGTACATATATGCACCCAAACTAGACGGGGTTGTTTCCCTGTGTCATGTGGGTATATACATAATTTGGTATTGATCTAGTCATGTTTATGTAGTCTAAAATTAGACTGTATGCAACGAAATTTCATTTTTAATGTATGCCAATTACTGCACATTCAAAGGGACAATAAAGCTATTCCATTCCATTCTATATTCTATTCTATATTTACTATTCCATTTCATTAATATTCTATTCCATTAATATTCTATTAATATTCCATTCCACTCAATATTTTTTCTATTAATATTCTATTCCATATTCCATTCTGTTGTGTTCTATTCTAATTCTAATTCTGTATTTACTATTCTATTCCATTCCATTCCATTAATATTCCATTAATATTCTATTCGATTCGATTCCATATTCCATTCTATTCTATTCATTCTTTTCTGTTCTATTTTATTTAATTCTAATTTTAATTCTATATTTACTATTCTATTCCATTAGTATTCTATTCCATTCATGTATTTTTAAAATATTCTATTCTATTAATATTCCATTCTATTCCATTTACTATTCTATATTTACTATTCTATTCCATTAATATTCTGTTTTATTTATATTCTATTCCATATTCCATTCCATTCCTTATTTCCACCCACCCACCCACCCTTGACTTTCATTTTGTGAGATAGGGCCCAGTGTTCAAATCTGCCAAATGCCGGGCACTCATGAAACCATCTTCTCTCTCCTAACTTGGACTATTTTATTTTACTTCGCCATCCACACTCTGTGAAGATAAATAGAAAAATTCCTTTGTCTGTGGATCATTTAAAAAAACAAAAACATGGGTGCTTTGTTGTCGTCCCCCCACCTTTTTTTTTTAACCTCCCAAGGAGCACTTTGAGTTCAAGAAACCAACCCGCCCTGCCTCTCGTGGCTCTTTGCACTTTTCTTCTCCGGACGATGAAAAAGACCCTTTGGAAGCGGAGCAGGACTTGAACACAGCACTTACGGTATTGATTGAGAGAACCTCCGGCGGGCTGTCCCAGAAAGAAAGGGACAGTGGTGGGTAGTGGAGATAGGTAACTAGGGGTTGTTCTCGACTTACAGCCATTCGTTTAGTGCCCGTTCAAAGTTACACCGGGAACGGGGGAAAAAGGGGGACTTAGGGCCCATTTTCCCACTTAATGACCTTTGTAGCAGCCCCACAACCATGGGATGCAAAATGCAATGCTTGGCAGCCGGTTCGTACACATGCGCACCTGTATACAATCTGCACACACAATTACACACACACACACACACACACACACACACTTTCATGCACCCAAATACACACATAGACTTAAACAATCTACATACACATATACATACATACACACTCATGTATACACATATCCACATATATAAACACACACACACCAGAGGTGGGTCTTCAGCAGGTTCTGACCGGTTCTGGAGAACCGGTAGCGGACATTGTGAGTAGTTTGGAGAAACGGCAAATCCCACCTCTGACTGGAGATTTTACAGTATCCTTCCCCTGCCACACCCACCAAGCCACGCCCGCAGAACCGATAGTAAAAAAAAATTGAATCCCACCACTGACACACACTTATATACAGACATCTGCACAATCTACACACACACATGAACACACACCTCCACACTCACACTGCACCTGTGTCTGGTTTGCCAATTGCACCGTGGCAGATAGGACAGCCACTCCAGAGGGTTAATGTCATTGCCCAGAAGATCATGGGTTGCCTTCTCCCCTCTTTGGAAGAGCTTTATAGCTCCCACTGCCTTAAGGAAGTTCAAAACATCCTCAAAGATCCATCTCATCCTTGGAACCCCCTTTTTTTGAACTATTACCATCTGGCAGACGGTACAGAACAATAAAAACAAGGACAAGTAGGCTGAAAAACAGCTTCTATCCCAGGGCAGGAGCTCTTTTGAATTCTGCTGTATAGTGCAATATTAATGCAATATCAGGGGTTTCCAATTCTATGTGTGGAGTGTGAGGGATGTGTGTTTGTGTTTATTTTCGTGGTCATGATGTCCACTGAAGATGGTGTTTGATTTTGTTGTACGAGGTGCAGTGACAAAGTAAACTAAATATACACGGGTGGGCTTCAAAAAACTGGTTCTCTGCTGGGTGGGCATGGCCGTGGTGGGTGTGGCCTTGTCGGCCTCCTTCACCGGGGCGGGGGGGGGGGGGGGGGGTTCGCTCTCCCTGGAGTCCAGAGGTTTTCCTTGAGCCTCCGGGAGGGCAAAATCGGCCTCCCCGGGCTCTGGAGGCTGGAAATGGGCCTGTTTTCCGGCATTCTGGAGCCTCTGGGTGGCCTGTTTTTCACCCTCGCTGAACCTCCGAGTGATCCCTGCACTTCCCTGGGAATGCAAACGGGCCCCGTGGGGACTCCTGGGAGGGGCGGGGCCAGCCAGGGGTGGGATTTGCTGGTTCACTGAACGGGCCATTAAATTACCTACCGTTTCACCCAAACCGGGGTGAACCAGTATCAGCCCGTCCCCTGCATATGCACAACCTACACACACAGATAGATAATCAGATACATTTCCACACACAACCACAATCGACACACACAAACACACTCATAGATATACAGACATACATACCAAAAAAAAATGTGAATTATGACCGTCTCTCACACTTATGACCATTGCAGAGTCCCCGTCATCACGGGATCAAAATTCAGACTCTCGGCCACTGACTCGTATTTATGACGGTTGCAGCCTCCCGGGGTCAGTAGATCCCCTTTTTGCGACCTTCCAATGAGCAGTGTTCCGATGGGGAAGCCCGATTGACCTTACCATCCAACCACTGCGGCGATTCACTTAACGACGGTGACAAGGAAGCTTGTAAAACAGGGCAAAAAATTTCACCGAACACCTATCTCACTTGGCAGCATCAATTTGGGGCCCAGGTTTGGTTGTACGTCTGGGACTACCTGCTTAAATTTCAATTAAATGTCTCTTTAAAAAAAACCAAAATGTGACTATTTCTCCATGAAAATATCCTTTGCTTTAGTTCTCCGGAGGTCACAATGGTGAAAACCATCCCAGAGCGGAGATCCCTGCGTTCCCATGCCGGCTGTCCCAACAAATCGCTGATACACATAACGACGACGGCTTTTTAGAGATGATGGATGGGCCTGATAGCACTGTAAGTGTGATGTTGTAGTTTAGTTCTTGGTAGAGTTTAGCTGGTTTTGATGCTGGTGTAAGTACAATACGGCTAGCTTCTCCCAAAGGACCTCGGAGGTCTTCTAGTCCATCTCCCTGGTCTTTCGTTTTATATTTCTCTCTCTGTGTGTGTGTATACGCACATATATAAAAGAAAGAGGGGGATGGACTAGAAGACCTCCAAGGTCCCTTCCATATTCTATTCTATTCCTTATCCTACTCTATATTTTATATTCTATTCACTCCTATTCATTATAGGAAGCCTTGGTGGCATAGTGGTTAGGGTGCAGTACCGCAGGCTATTTCTGCTGACTGTCGGCTGCCTGCAACTTGGCAGATCGAATCCCACCAGGCTCAAGGTTGACTCAGCCTTCCGTCCTTCCGAGGTGGGTCAAATGAGGACCCAGATTGTTGGGGGCAAGAGGCCGACTATGTAAAACCGCTTAGAGAGGGCTGTAAAAGCACCCTGTGAAGCGGTATGTAAGTCTAAGTGCTATTGATATTTTCCTTCCCTTCCCCTTCCTTCCTTCCTTCCTTCCTTCCTTCCTTCCTTCCTTCCTTTCCTTCTATTCTATTCTATTCTATTCTATTCTATTCTATTCTATTCTATTCTTTACCTGGAATTCCAGAGGAAAATTCTGGAGTCTTAAAAAAACTTTGTCATAGTTGTTGGATTCCCTTAACAAAGGTGGCAAGAAAGCTGATGAAATGGGGCATACTTGAGAACCGTCTCCCTTAGCAACCTCAATTTTGGGCTCCGTGGTCGTCGTAAACCAAGTACTACCTATATAGAACTGCAATCCTGAAGCCATTTCTGGGATTTTTTTTTTTTTTTGAACCAACCTGCAAATCTTCGCCATTCCCAGCAAGAAAAAGAAAAACCCAGGAGCTTCATAATAATAAATTTTCATCATTCCTGGTGTTTTGTCCCCCACCCCCACCCACCCACCCACCCGCTTTTGTTTCCAGAATGACACCGAGATGCCGTCTGACATGTCGTGCCTTTGGACCGCTCCTCTGGTGGTCACGATGAGCGAGGACCTGCTGGTAACTTTGGAGTTTTGTAACTTGAGGGTTGGATTTGGAAGCTTGCTTTAAAGCAACCCCCCCTTTTTTTTTCTCTCCCTCCCTTCAGATTTCAGGGTATTTGTCTTAAGGCTCTGCTCATTGAGCAGGGGGTTGGAGTAGATGTCCTCCAGGGTCCCTTATGATGGTGTCATTCTTGCAGGGTCTCCTGCTGTGGAGCAGGGGGTTGGACTAGATGACCTCCAAGGTCCCTTCCAACTCTGTGATTCTATGATTCTGTCGGGGGGGGGTTCTCCTGCTCGAGCTGGGGTTGGACTCCCAGGTCTCTTCCAGCTTTCTCCTTCTGCTCTGCCGGGGCAAGGAAGAGGAGGCTCTAATGCCAATAGAAGAGACATCACTACTCCAATCAGGAGCAGAATTTTGAAGGGGGACAACCCACCCCCAAGTTTTCTGTGGGGCGCAGCATGTGAGGTGTCCTTGCCCTGTTGTGTTCCTTTGCAAGGTTCAAGCTTTGTCAGCCCCTCTTTTCTCTGGACCTCCCCCTTTTTGTGTGTATGTGTGTTGATTTTATTTATTTATTAGATTTGTATTACCGCCTATTCGCCATGGTGACTCAGGGCAGGCTTACAACATAGAAAACCACAATTTAAAGCAATGAAACTCCTAAAATCAAATAAATTAATGTAGTAAAATCAGCGGCAGC